ATCTGGTCCTGTCTCCTCCTGTGAGGTTGTCCAGAGGCCAGGGTAGGTGACAGTTCTCTGAATCCCCAGGCAGCTGGCCGGAGGGGAATCAGAGTTTCGGGGCGTGTTGCCTCCGGGGGCCATGTGTGGGGTAGGGAGGGCTGGTCTGGGGGTGCGCCGGGCTCACCTGGCAAGGTCCCATCAGGCTGCCTGGCTGACCAATGGCAGCCCTATTTATAGTCTCCGTCAGAAAACACCCCTGGCCATGACAGCAGGGTGGCCTGCTCGCTCCTTGAGACCTGATGCCTTGCCCAGGAGGGGCCCGGGTTGGGGCAGCCACGGCCAGGCCCAGTCAGTGCCTGCCTGCCAGGCCCAGACTTGCTGAGTTACGCGGCAGTCCTGGCCCGGGGCTGCAGCCTCAGGGATTTCCCACAGCTGAAGGACAAGGGGCCCAAGGAAGCCCCCACCGAGTGCAGCTCCTGCCTGGCTCCCGAGGCCCCCTGTGCTGTCTCTTCCATCAGAGAGGCCCTGGGCTGGCCCCCAGTGGCTGGCCCCTGCCCTGAGGGGACAGGGGCAGGAAGGAGGGGCCCAAGCATCCGTGTCTATCACCAGTGCCCAGAGGGTGTGCCCGAGGGGTCTCACTGCAACAGGCCCCCGGGCTCCTGCTCTCTGCGTGGATGCTGAGGGCCACCTCGGGCAGGACGGCGCAGGCAGGGCGGGCTGGACCACAGGCGAACTGGTCTGATGGCCGGCACCCAGGCACCCTCCAGCAAGCCCTGCCTGGGACAGGGGCTCTGCCCAGCTGGCCTTGCTACCTGCCTGGCTCCAAGACCAGGGCAGCCTGCCCGGGCTGTGAAGGGAGGCCTGCCCCTGGGAGCATCCTGGGAGACCCACGCCAGTGGGAGTGAGGCTGGGAGGGGCCCCCTGTGCCAGGGAGGGCTGGTGGGAGGGTGGGTACAGACAGGCTCTGTCCTGTGCTGGCTGCCGGGCCGGCCACTGGGTGATCTGAGAGGTTGTGCTTGCCAAGGCCCTGCTGGGAAGTGGCTGGGCAGAGGGTGGGTGCCTCCACTCTGATCCTTCCGTCTGTCTTTGGTTGGTCTCTCTGTCTCTCTGCGTCTCTGCCCGTCTGTCACACGGTTGAGAACTTGCGTGGTGCTCAGGAAGTGGACCTTCTGGGGCCAGTGTCCCTATTCAGAGGGCAGAGGGCAGAACAGGCCCACAGGGGGGACTGGGACTCGGGGCAGAGGCCTTAGGTTGGAGCCCTACTCCAAGCTTCCTGGGAACCGTATAGCTTCCTGGGCTGTAAGGCACAGGGGGGCAGCTTCCTGCCACCCCCTCTACCAGCCCCTTGCCCACATGTACCCCCAGTAGAGAAGGGTGGCTTTGGGACCCCAGGACGTAGGCCTGTGTCCCCCAGATGCTGGTTTCTGGGGAGACAGAAGGCTACAGTGTGGCCAGGCTAGGGCAGACAGAGCCCCCCAAGGCAGGCCTGCTGGAGCCCTGCCCAGGGAGGAGACGCTCTCATCCCTCGCAGCCCTCAGGGACAGCCAGGCACTGTACTCTTCCTGGGGAGCAGTGACCCGCCACAGCCACCCTGCCCGGTAAGGCCCCTGCACCAGTCCTGGAGGGCAGCCGTAGCAGGCCATCCCCGGCCTCCACCCGCCCAGCCCACCCTCACAGTAGTGAGGGGCCCTCCGCAGGAGCACGTGCCTCGCCGTGCTGCCTGAGGTCGGCGGGACCGGAGCGCGGCCTGGGCGTCTGTGCCAGCCGGGGCCCCTCCAGAGCCAGAGATGAGGGCTGCATGGCTGTGTGGACAGTCCCCGGCCTGCGGCCACCATGCTACCCGGCTCTGTGAGCTCCTGGCTTGACGCTGCCCCTCTCAGGACCCTCCCTCCTCAGCCCAGCCCCCACCCTGCAGACTCTACAGCCAGGCCAGCGACTGCGGCAGCCCACCTCTGCTGACCCCCCACCTCTCCTGACCCTCCCCCTCGAGAGTTCCCATCTTCTGCAGGTGCACCCGCAGGGCACGGCCTGAGAGCTGAGTGCTGAGGAGCAGCTGCCCCTGGCTGTGAGCCGCCCGCGGCCACACCTTCAGCTGGGTCCAGGGAGTCCCTGCGGCCACAGCCCCCACTGTCCATGCCCAGAGGCATCTCTGACCCGGGAGCAGGAGGTCGCATGGGCTGTTGTGTTTTCAGAGATGCTATTGGAACGCCAACTTCACTCCACGTCTACGAAGGATTCCACAGTGGGCCTTCTCCGCCCGTCCGGGGAGCCGCGTGGTGTGAGTGGGTCACTAAGGGCTGCCTGCCCTGGGGTTTGTGGCCCATTTGGAATTAAATTCCAGAAATGGGAAGGTGACGTAGCTGCGCCTGCCTGTGCGTGGCACTTCTTCCCACAGGGGAACATGGCTCCCTTCGTGTCTCTTTTGATGGAAACGTGCTTTCCTCCTGAGGAGCTGCAACACGGGTCCCTGGGCGCGGGCAGCTCACTCAGATAGGCTGTTTCGGGTGGTCCCGAAGAGGACGTGGCCGCCCACCAGGCTCTGGCCCAGGTGCACCCTCGCTGCATGCAGTCGTGCGGAGCCAGCCTCTCCACCAAGCCCTCGAGGGCTCTATCTGCCTCCTGCGCTGGGGTAGGATGGAGCCCCCGGCATCCTGGAGTCAGTGGGTGCCAAGAACCAGTCCCTCCTGGGGCACACTGCTGGGGCACCAGCAGCGCCTCCTCCCCAGATGGAGGCAGAGGCAGGCGGGCCAGGCTGGCAGCATCCGTGGCTGTCCGAGCTTGTGCAGCCAGGAAGGCTGGCAGGTGCAGCTTCCTGTAAGACCTGTCTGCCACCACCCACCCCGGGCTCCGAAGCGTGTCACCTCTGCAGGCACGGAGGCTGTGGGGCCCCGTCTCTCCCTGCTCTGGCCTCCCTAAGCCCCGGTGGTAACCTGCCCCTGCCATCAAGGCTGGTGCTCTGAGCAGCTCATGAGCCCTGGCATCCAGGACGGAGCAGGGGATGAGGACCCTCGGGTCCCGCAGGAGACCAGCTCCACATGGGGCGCCCCGTCTGCCAGCCACCAACGGTCCAGTCATACCGGGGAAGATGGCAGGAAGCACAGAGAGAAAAGCAGGGAGAGCCCAGTGGGGCCGGCAGCCGGGTGGGCCAGAGCCCAGGTCGGCGGTTTCCACGAAGGCCTCCTTTCCTTCTGCCTCTCATTTAAGGACACAGTTGTTGCAGCGCACCCACCTCCCAAAGACAAACGGACCTCCACCCACCCACCGGCCTTTCCTCCCTGGGCACTCACCCGACCACCCACTTGTCCACACACCCCTCCATGCGCCCACCTTGTGGCCTCCCAGCCGTCAGCATCCGTCCTGCCCACACGCCGGCTCTACCTTGTTTTCTGTGGAGCCGCCAGAACTGCCTGTGCACAGCAGGCCCTCGGCGGGGGCCTCCCATAGCTCCCCCCCTGCGGCAGGGGCCGGGGCTGTGTTAGCGGGCGGGGGACAGAGGGCCTGCCCTTTCAGAGATGTGCAAAGGAGGGGCTGGCACAGTAGGGGCCCTTCAAGGTGGGCGGTCATGGAGACTTCATGGCGGCATCTGGGAGACGAGCTGCCTGGCTGAGTGAAGAGCACATACGTGCAGAGGCCCTGAGGCTGAGGCCTGCCCTCCTGGCATGACTGAGGGACGGCAGGGGCCAGTGCTGCTGACACGGCAAGGCGGCAAGTGGGGGTCCGGGGAGGAGGTCCCAGGGATGGCTTCGGGTGTAGCTGGACAACACCTGCCGTGTGGGGAGGAGGTAGTGGGGGGTGGGGCAGAGCCAGGTGCGCAGTAAGGAGATGGGTCAGGAGGGCAGGACCGAGACCTGCCAGTGGGTCAGGGTGGGAGAGAGCCCAGGGCCGGTGCGTCACCAGCTGAGCAAAAGGGACTGGTTTGGGGGACGAGCAGGAGCTCAGTTCGGGGTGCACTGGGGCTGAGTGTCCTCAGTGCCCTCGGGGACCATCCTGCCGTGGCTGCGCAGGTCTGGAGGTGGGGGGTTGGGTCTGGGTGCCTAGGACCAGGGGACCCATGAGCTCGCCAGGGAGGTGGGTGGCCAGGGAGATGTGGGCAGCAGGGGTGTGGGAGGGGAGCCACGTGGGGTGGCTCAGGGCCATGAGGGGCAGGTGGCCCTGCTGTGGGCATCCACGGGCAGGGCGTAGGAGGTGCCCACAGAAGGGAGGCGGTGCTGGGCAGAGGGGCGTGGTGCCGGCAGGATTCCCCGATGGCAGAGGCAGGGGCTCCTTGTGGCTGGGGCTCTGGTGCTCCATCCCTGTTCCTCATTCTCTGCGAGGCCAAGGGCAGGAACAGCAGGCCCAGCAGGGGTTGGCACAGGCTGGGCCAGTAGGGCCCACAAGGCCAGAGGGCAGGATGGAGGTCTGGGGCCCTCTGAGTGTGGTGAGCCCGAGCCCGGGGAAGGGCAGGTGAAGGCCCCACCCCAGCCCCTGGAGTGGACAGCTGCCCACAGGCCCTGGCTTCTCCCCCATGCACATCCCCTGCTGGCCACGCATTTCAGAGGCAGCCATTAAACGCGAGCGGTGTCCTGGCAGACTCGCAGCCCATTTCCAGAAAACCGACCACCTACTGATTGCCCCTTGGCTTCTGTCTTGGGGGCCCCAGCAACACCCTCCAAGGCGGGACTCAGGGGAAGTAGGCTGGGGCTGTTGGGTGGGGGCCGAGGGCTTTGCTGTGGGTTTGTAGCAGAGGCCAGTCTCCCCTCTGCCCAACTGGGCCCTGCCTCCCCTGGGGAGGGCGTGGGTAGTACATGGATGTCACCAAGAAGGGTGCCAGGTGACCACAGACACCCTGAAGTGTGACCTGGTAGGGGGGTTGCCTCGCTGGGGTGAGACATCTCCAAAGCCAGTGATGAGAACATTATTGAAGCCAGGGCCGCAGGGCACATGAGGAAATGGGGACGGCGTCCGGGAGCCGGGCAGCACTTCCCTTCAGAAGAGCACAGCTGTCCAGAGGCCATGGTCCGGGTCTTCAGGGCGGCCCCCTAGCCCAGGGCTTCATGGCCTTCTCCAGGGGCCTGGGGCTGCCGGCCTGCCCTCTTCCCCGTGACCCGAAGGTGTTTGAAGGCAGTGGGCAGCGTCCGGCCCAGGAACGGAGGGCTGGTCACGTCGTGGATCATGATGACATACTCACCTGCAGAAGATGGGCCCTTGGCCTCGGCCCCCATGGCCACTACAGCCCCTCCCCTCTGCCTGCCACCCGCCTTCCTGGGTTGGGAGTGTGCAGATTCAGGATCCCACGGGAGCTGTCAGCACCCGCGCCCTGCCCTGGACCCCAGGACCAGCTGCCATCTTCCCTGGCATGCCGGGCACACAGTCACTGTAGGTGAGTAAGTGAAACTGGGTGAATGAAACCACCCCCAGCCTCTGGACAGAGGCCCAGCTCCAGCACCTTGGGTATCCTGGGGGCGGAGTCGGGCCAGACATGTGTACCGCTCTGCATGGTGGGCTGGGCTGGCTCGGTAGGTGGAGAGCCCCTCCCTGCCATGGAGCCTGCAGGCCCAGTGCAGGGGTTCTATGAAAAAACTTTGCTATCTTTCTAGGAGAAAAGTAATTCGCTTCCTCTGAGATGTTTCCTGAAATAATTAAGCCTCTGAAGTCTTGGTGTGTGGCTTGTTGGACGCCCCCGCCCCACAGACCCTCGGGCGGGGAGGGCTGCCCTGCTTGGGCCTCTGCACAGGAGGGCATGTGCCCTGTGCTGTCTGCAAACTGTCTGGGAGCATCAAAGTTGGAGAAGCCTTAAGAAAGAAAATAAAAAATAACAGAAAGTGAGGTTGCCGTGGAGACCGCCCCTCCCCCTGGCCAACCCGCCGGGTTGGCACCAGGGTGTGGAAAAGCTCGCGCCCTGGTCTGGGCTCAAGGCAGGAATGTGGCTCCCACCGCCAGCCACAGGCCCCCTCCGTGTGCTCACCCAGGGGCCGCAGGCGCCCTGCCTTCCTGGGCAGGACAGGGGGCCTCGGGGGTGGGGACAGGGGGGTGCTCAGCCTTGAGTCAGTTCCTTCAGAGTTCTGGGGGCCAGGGCCCTGGGAGGGGGCCGACAGTCCACCGCAGGGGCACCAGGCCTCCCTGGCCAGCCCGCAGGGGAGCCGCACATGGCAACACTGCGGTGTTTCCAAGCAGCTCTGGTTTCTAGGTGTTCCCAGAGCACAGCTGCCTCGGCCAAGGGAGCCAGCCGCCCGAGAGCTCGGCGGGCAGAGTCGCAGTGCTGAGCCCCACCCTCATCTGACCTCACCCTGGGGCTCTTCTGGCACATGGATGGGCAAGGGTCAACAAGGCTGGGCCCCAACTGCCACGTGGTCCCGTCACAGGCCCTGTGCCTGGCGTCCCTCAGAACCCGCTTGGCCATCCAATGGCTTTGCCCCTTACAGCCTGGACATCCTGTGGCTCCTCCCAGCTAGTGCAGGGGGCTGCCCCATTCCCCTGCCCTCAGCCCCTGCCCCTTGGGCGCACACGAGGTCCCAGTCCCGAAAGGGGAGCCCCGTCGTGTCACCAGCGCTGTAGGCTGGTCAGTACACCCATGTGGCTGCTCTTGGGACAGCTGGCGGCAGCCCGCAGTGGGAGGAGGGAGCGCTGTCCAGACCCAGCCCTCCCAGCAGGGGCTTGCCATCCACAGGCTCTGCCATCACTCCCAGAGGCACAAGGGGCCACAGGCGGGTCCGACCTGGAAGCCTGCTGGCCTTCTAATCAGGGCCTGGAGCCCTGGAAGGAGGGGGTTTGCCTTGGCTGAGGGGCAGAGAGGCACCCAGCACAGGTGAGGCCCCTCCACCAGATACCTGCCCAGCACCCACACCCATTCTAAGGGACAGAGCCTGGGTGAAGAGCAACGTCCGCCTCCACTTCCCAGGGCCTCACGGTCCCGCCTCTGGGGGCGCCCGTGGTGGTGTGAGTGGCGGGCGGTGGCCAGGCTGGGAGCCGCCTTCCCAACACCCTGGCTGCTCCAGCCCAGATGACCGTCCAAGTTAGGGAGGAAGGAAGCGGCCTGTCTTTCCAGAGGTCGGCAGAGGATCCATTCCGATCTCAGAGCGACGGCCAGAGGCCCCCTGGGACACCCCTGCCGCCCACATACCTGGGAACGCTGCTGCTTGCGGAGCCGCGGCGGCACCGGTGGGCCTGCGGGAAAAGAGGAGGGAGGCCTGACTGGCGCGTGGTCCCCGCCCGCCGCCCCGGAAGACATGAGTGTGCCCGCTCCCAGGCCCTGCGTCTGGGGGACCGAGGCCCTGACCTCCGCCTGCAGCTGCCTGTGGTGGGCTTCAGACCGAGCCCCGGCGTTCCTGTGCCCGCCAGAGGGTTTCAGGGGGCCAACCACCCATGAAGTTTCTGCTCTGGCCACAGGGCCACCTGCCCACAGGGACGGACTGCTTGTCCAGAGGGGCAGGCTGCTGTGGCTCCAGGAAGGACAATTGTTTTTTGCCCATGGGGGGTTGGGTCAGGCCCTCACCTCCTCCACACCGCCTTGGAGGGATGAGGAGGCTGGCACAGTGTGGATGCCCGCCCCGTGTGCCCCGGCCAGCACAGAGGTCCTGAGCGGGATGGCTGGAACTTACCCAGATCAGGAGAGGCCCTCCTACCCCCTCCCTCGGTGGCCAGGGCGGAGCACTGGCACCTTCGTGGCATGCGCTCGGAGACTCACCAGGTTCCGACCCCTTGCCAAGCTTAAATACCACTTGCATAGTTTGGGTGACAAAAAATTAAAGACAAAAGATTTTGAAATCACTTCATTTTGAGTGGGGGAGAGGGAGCTTCGGCTTGGACCCGGAAGCTGGGTTGAAGGTTCTGAAGTGCAGGTGAGGAGAAGCAGATGAATGATTCAGTGCTGAGAATGACCAGTCTGTCAGGCTGCCAGCTTTAAGAGAAATAGATGGGGTCACAAGAATCCTGAGAGTTTCACCGAACCCCCAGGGGCCTGAGAAAGCCAGGGCAGTGGACTGTGGTGACGGTGACCGAGGGTCACCCTGTGTGGGGGCACTGGGGTGCCGGGTGGCCTGCGAGGGCTTCGGTTTGCCCCCAGAAGTGCTGCCTGGGGACTGGCTGGGTACGAGTGGCGCGCCGGCCTCCAGAGGTGGCTAGTGGGCTTCCTCTCGGTGGGTCCACGTGGACACCTCGGCCCCAGGAAGGGGCGCCCAGAGCTGGGGCTGGAGCTGGAGGGGACCCGGCTGCTCGGTCCCTTCGCCTGCGGCTGGTGTCCTCGGCTGCATGCTTCTTGTGCTTGGGCTTGTTGAATGTCTTGGGTCTGTCAGTTTACAGTTTCCATCAAAGTTGAAATTTTGGCTGTTTACGTCTTCGAACGTGTGGCCGCCTCCTCCTCCCCTCCGCACTCTGGAACCTCGGGCCCTGGGGGTGTCTGCGCCCGGAGGTGCCTTACAGCGAGCATGTCGGTCCACGGCGGGCCTGTCCCCTCCGGGCCTCTCTTTGGGTGGCCCCTCATCTCGTGGCCTTTGATCCCAAATCACATGTTTCCACCTCGAGCACAGTTTTCATCTCCAAACGTTTGATTCTGCTCTTTTGACATCTTCCGTGTCTCTATTTCACTCTATTTCCATCTTTCCTCTGGAATGCACAGAATCCAGTCATAACTGGTTTGATATCCTTGTCCACTAATTCTCCCATTTGTGCTGTTTCTGGGTCGGTTTGGGCGGGTCTTCCCCCTTATTAAGGGGTGTGCACTCCTGCATTCTCTGTGTGCCTGGTGATCTTTGATTAGATGCCAGACATTGTGAATTCTACCTTCTTTGATGTCGGATATTTTTGTACTCTTATAAATATTCTTGACGCCGCTAAGTTACTTGGGAACAGTTTGATCTTTTTGGGTTCTGCCTCTAAGGTTTGTTAGGTAGGGTTTAAGATAGGGTTAAGTACCGCCCACTACCAAGGCGAGACCCTGTGAGAACTCCACCCCCAGCCCAGGTTGGGAGGCCCTCCCGCCAGGCTGCCAGGGCAGCACCTTTCCTAGCCCTGCGGGCCTCTCCCCGGCCTCGAGCGTGTTCCCGTTGCACGTGTGCCGACTGCCGCCCTGAGCCTCAGGCTCTCTCCTCTCCGGCGCTGCCTCCTGCGGACTCCAGTCGCCCTGGCTTCCCGGGACTCCCAGCCTTAGCCCTCCACTTGAGCCCGCTGGGAGCCCTCCCTGCACCGCAGCCGGAAACTCTCCATGAAGGTTTTCTGGGTCTGGCCCACTTTTTTTTATTAAGGTATCATTGATATACACACTTATGAAAGTTTCACAAGAAAAACAATATGCTTATTACATTCACCCTTATTATCGAGTCCCCCCCACACCCCATTGCAGTCACTGTCCATCAGTGTAGTAAGATGCCACAGAGGCCCCATTTGTGTTCTCTGTGCTGCACTGTCTTCCCCGTGACCCCCCCACACCATGTGCACCAATCATGATACCCCTCAATCCCCTTCTCCTTACCCACCCCCTTTGGTCACCGCTAGTCCCTTCTTGGAGTGTGTGAGTCTGCTGCTATTTTGTTCCTTCAGTTTTGCTTCATTGTCATACTCCACATATGAATGAAATCATTTGGTACTTGTCTTTCTCCGCCTGTCATATTTCACTGAGCATAATGTCCTCCAGCTCCATCCATGTTGTTGCAAATGGTAGGATATGTTTCTTTCTTATGGCTGAATAGTATTCCACTGTGTATATGTACCACACCTTCTTTATCCATTCATCTACTGATGGACACTTAGGTTGCTTCCATTTCTTGGTTATTGTAAATAGTGCTGCGATAAACATAGGGGTGCATCTGTCTTTTTGAATCTGAGAAGTTGTTTTCTTTGGGTAAATTCTTAGGAGTGGGATTCCCGGGTCAAACGGTATTTCTCAGTTTTTTGAGGAGCCTCCATACTGCTTTCCACAATGGTTGAACTGATTGACATTCCCACCAGCAGTGTAGGAGGGCTCCCCTTTCTCTGCAGCCTCACCAGCATTTGTTGTTCTTAGTCTTTTTGATGTTGGCCATCCTAACTGGTGTGAGGTGGTATCTCATTGTGGTTTTTGCATTTTCCTGATAATTAGCGATGTGGAGCATCTTTTCATGTGCTGGGTCTTGTCCGCTTTTAACTTGTTTACTTGTGGGAGGGAAAATCCCGCCCCTTGCCCCCCATCTTTGCCAGAGCAGAGGTCCGTTCTTGCACTGATGGGCCAAATGAGAGATGGTGTCCTGGCTGCACCGGCTCATCGTTTGATGCCCGGTTGGAAGGGGCAGGCTCTTCAGTGGGGGACACATTCAGGCTCCCACCCCCTCACCTCTGCTGCCCAGGGGTTGCCCTCCAGGGCCCCCAGACAGCTGCATGTGTCCCTGTTGTGGAGGGGAGATAGGACCTCCACTAGCACGAGTGACACTCGGTAGTGGTGCTCCAGTGCTGGGACCCCCAACCCCCACAAGGCCCAGTGGGACCCTCTCAAGGCCTCCTTCAAGGGCCAGCAAGGTGACCCCGCTGGTTCCTCCTAGGCACCCTAGTGACCCACCAGCCCAGTCGGCTGGCTCCTCACACGGTGGCTCTGATGCACGTGTGGCCCTGAGGCTAGGCCTCCCTCTTTCCTCAGAGCCTCCGTCAGGCCCTCGTGACTCCATCTTTTCTGGGATGCCCGCTGCACTGAAAGTCTCAAACCCCCAGAACATGCCCTGGGGGTCCTGACCTGCTGAAATCATCACGAGCACATCCCCCTAAGCGGATCCATCACTAAGGCAGTGCCCACCGCAGCCGGGGGGGGACAGGAGGCCACAGCTGAGCTCGAGGTGCATGGCTCTTGTGCTTGGCCTGGGTCAGAGACCAAACGGGCTGAGCTGAAAAGTGGCCACAACTGAAGAGGAGACCTGAGACCCGTCACTGGAACCCAGTGGCTAGCACACACCCGTTCTTTCGCTGGGGCAGCTGAGCAGATTGGGGCACTTGGGAGGCAGGCATTGGGACCCCTTGGCCAGGCACACAGCAGGTAGAATGGAGAGGTGTTCACCTGGGGTGACCGCTCCTGTCTCTAGTGGCCCTGGGCCCATCCCCTGCAGCCCACGGAGGTGTGGGCTTGGTGGGGCCTGGCCCCGAACCCGGTCCTCACTGTTTTCCGGTCTGTGAGTGGGCGTGTGGGCACAGGAGGGCAAGGGAGCATGGGACCCCTCCTGTGGCCTGGGTCCGGGAGATTGCCCTGGGACAGGCTGGGTCAAGGCAGGACTGTGGGGGGCAGGAGCATCTGCCTCCCACCATCTGGGCAATAAGCAGCCTCCAGTTTGAGGGGCACCTGCAGCTCAGGGACCCCAGAGCCCTTGGCCAAGTGCTAATCAGGACAGAAGTCAGGGTACACTCACCCCCAGGGTGTGTGGCCCCTACAGAGAGCCCAGGAGAAAGCTCCAAAATTAGAAGTCAGCTCATCGCCAGGGCGCAGCTGGGCCTAGTCTGGGGCCAAGCTGGAGACCACTGTTGCCCCCCTTCTGGCACGACAGCCACAGGCTCGCAGACTGCAGAGGATGTCGGCCAGCCGCTCTCCCTGTAGCCCGGCCCCTGGAGAGGGTCCTCTTCCCCCCGGGGCCCTGGGAGGCCTGTCCTCACCCAGGCTTACAGGGGCTGCGGCCTTATTGCCAGAGTAAGACTCCCCTGCACAGGCCTGGCAGGGCAGCTGACGGCCAAGCAAGAGGGGGCAGGTGAGCAGAGGGGCCCGGTAGGGGCTTGCTCGAGACCATGTAGGGCCCTGGGCCCTGGGGGGCCTGCGGGCTGTTTCTGTGTGGGGGTAGTTGCTTGCCTGCCCTGTGGCCGGCCGTGGGCGGTGAAGGGTCTGGCCCTGCCTGCCCACCAGCCTCCATCTGCTGCTGGGTCATCACCCCAGTCCTGCGTCGGGCGCGAACCATGCTGTGTGGGGCCTCAGGTGGCCCAGCTGTTCCCGCCCCTGCCTCACACCTGCTTCGGTTTACTTCTCCTGCTGACAAGATGGGGCTCACCCCTCAGTCTTCAAGGCTCTGAGACATCAGGAGCCCCATCGATCCCTTTGTCTTCTCTCACCAAAAGGGTGGGGAGCAGAAGCTGAGCCCCCCTGCACGGGGTCCGGCCAGGGGGCAGGTGGCCAGAAGGCCGGCACCGCCCCCGACAGGCTCAGGCAGCAGAGACCCCTACGGCCC